ATTGGGAGGCACTTATGATTTCTGCTCGGCTCTTGGACGGAACCCTGTTCTTTAGGTTCCACACTGCGCCGCCCCCAGCGGCTCCCACAGGACAGGCTCCAGGGACCCCAAGGAGACAGCATGCGGCCTCCAGCCGGCGCCATGCTGTGCCCGAGCGCTTCCAGTAGCTCTGGGGGACCTCAGGGAACACCCGCAGACAACATGCTCCTGCAGCAGCCAGGTCCCCTGGGGAAACCCACCCAAACACGGTCCCACCATCTTCAAACGCCCTCTGTGCTGAGCACAGGTGCTGCACCACCACTGCGCTCACACAACTTCCTCAGCACTTGCAGCCTCATGGCCAGGTTCTCACAGGGTTTCTGTTCTGCTCTTTCTCCTCCGTGGAGGCTCCGCGTCTGAACCCACCACCGCTGCCCTCTGGGAGCAGTGCCACCCGGGTCATGGCATCCACAGTCACCATGTCCTCGCAAACCTCAAAGCTTCCAAAGCACTGAGACTCCTGAGGCGCGGCCTCCTCTCCCTCACCGCCAGGCTGGGGTCCAGCAGCAGCGGCCAGAGGAGCAGGGCACAGGGGTCCAGGCCACCATGTCCCCAGAGTCCAGCTGGTGCAGCCACAAGCATATGCACTGGGGACCTGGACACTGGGGGCTGGAGCTTTCCCTGCAGCTCCGCCTCCTCTTTTAAAAAAAAATATTTTATTGATATTGTTACAGAGAAGAAGGGAGAGGAATAGAGAGCTAGAAACATCTATCAGCTGCCTCCTGCACACACCCTACTGGGGATTTGCCTGGAACCAAGGTACATGCCCTTGACCGGAATAGAACCTGGGACCCTTCAGTCCGCAGGCCGACGCTCTATCCACTGAGCCAAACAAATTAGGGCCACTCCACCGTCTCTTGCTCATTCCCTTTCTGTGCTGCTGCCAACTGTGCCTGACAGCTGCCTGGAGGGAGAACTGAGGTCTCTTGAAGCGTTTGGCCATGCTCTGGCCCATGGCAACGTGAGGACCAAGAGTGGACAGCAGCTGAGATGAGGTGGCGGCATCCCAGCTGGTGGCAGGGCCTTGAGGAGGGGTGGTTCTTGGGGCAGCTCACCTGGGCCTGGGACTGTAGGGTCCACAGGGAAATCAGTGCACAGGCAGGAGGGAGGAGGTCATAGTTTTCTCTGTAGAAGTTATTGGGAGATTGAAACCACACAAGTCCCTGGAGGCAGAATTCCTCCCCCCTCCCACCACCTCGCCAAAATAAAAGCCCTGCACCCATCTCCTTTCCAGTCTCCATCCAAGCAGGTCTGACTTGCTGAGTGATTGTTCCTCTGCTTCTCGTTTCAATCAGGAGCATAATAACCATCCCACGTCCCCTTGGTGTGTGTGTCATGAACATCAGTACCAGCTGCTGTGCTTCTGCTTCTGCATGGTGTCCACTCCTCTGGGTGCTGTGAGCATGAGGACAAGACCAGGACTGTCACCCTGTGGGTCCTTCTTCTGCAGCTTTGGGTTCACACACATGTGGGGCCCCTGGTCCCGCACTCAGGGGAGCTGCACCATTGAGTCATTAGAGCCTCTTGTTAGATTCAGGTGATGTGGGTCAGAAGACTTGATGGTAAAACTCATTATAGCACAAGTGTGTATGAAAGAGACTCTCTAGTTTTGTTCACAGGAGAAAATTGTCTCTCTTTACAACTACCTTTTTAACTCACAGACTCAGGCGTCAGCGAAGAATCAGGAACCAGATGTTCCCTGAGGGAAACTGTGACATGAAGAGGAAACCACACAGGAACCATCCCAAACCTCTGCTGGTTTGTTCCTTGTGCACCTGCAGCTGGGATGGTCCTTGTGTTTAGGGACCCTGAGCGCCCCCTGGTGGTCAGATATCTTCCTGCAGGGAGGTTAGTGTCTGGGCTCACACTGACTTCCCCTCACTGTGTGTCTTGCACAGTAATACACGGCTGTGTCCTCGGTGGTCACAGACCTCAGTTGCAGGGAGAACTGGTTCTTGGACGTGTCTTTGGAGATGGAGGTTCGCCTCTTGAGGGAGGGGCTGTAGAAAGTGTCTCCATCATAATCTATGCGCACAATCCACTCCAGCCCCTTCCCTGGGGGCTGGCGGATCCAGCTCCAGCCATAACCACTGGTTGTGATGGAGAATCCAGAGACAGAGCAGGTGAGGGAGAGGGTCTGCGAGGGCTTCATCAGTCCAGGGCCCGACTCCTGCAGCTGCACCTGGGACAGGACACCTGAGACAGAGAGAACACAGTGAGTCCTGGGCTCAGATGCAGGATCCCCATCACCTCACGTCTAAGCCCTGAGTCACTCACATGTGGGAGCTGACAGCAGGAAGAGGAAGAGCCACATGGGAGTCATGTCTTTCAGGTGAGATTCTCGTCCCCCAGAAAGTATTCTCCAGGATGAGGAGGCCCTGCATTTAAGTGGACGCCAAGTGTGTATGTGTCTGGTGGCCTTGTGTGCATTTGCATATAGGAGGTGTCTGCCCATACAAAGGGCATGAGGTAAGGGAGGTCCCAATCTCTGGGGCTTCACTGGAAGGAGGTGATGACTGTCCCTTATAGAACCAGACCCTCTTTGGAATCCTGGTCTCTGTGCCCAGGGACCTCTCCTTCCACACCAGGGGTTATGCTGCAGGAGGGGGTCAGGAAGTAGGATGTGGGCACATGAGTGACTCCTTAGGGATACATTCAATGTGCCTCTGCTCCCATAGATATAGATACAGATATAGATATAGATACAGATATAGATATAGATATAGATATAGATATAGATATAAGATATAGATATAGATATACATTAGTATAGGTATAGATATAGATATAGATATAGATATGGATATATGTACAGATACATAGATACAGATCTTTTTAAAAATATATAATTTTTTTCCTATTTAGTGAGAGAGAAAGGGAGAGGGATAAATAGAAACATACTTGAGAGAGTATCATCGATTGGTTGCCTACTTCATGGCCCCCTCTGGGGATGGAGACAGCAATCAGACTTACGTGTCCTCACCAGGAATCAAACCAGTGACTTCTTGGGTCCAGGGTCAAAGTTCAACAGCTGAGCCACATGGGCCAGGCTGGATCTTCTTTTCTTTATTCTCACCTGAGGAGGTGCTCATTGATTTTTTCAAGGGAAAAGAAAGGAGAGAGAAGTATTAGCAGAGATGTAGAGAGAAAAGAAATATTGACGGCAGAGAAAATATTTATCGGTTGCCTCCCATAACTGCTGAGAATGGGAATCAGACCCACAACCTTTACATTTATTTATTTTAATACTAGCGGCCCAGTGTGGGAAATCGTGCA